TTTAAATTTAAATACATGGATTTACCGTGAACTAAGTTTTTCGATGAGAAATGTCGAAAGCAGAGAGACACGCGGCACTTGGAACTGTCAGCGTCAAACGGACAAATCTTACCTTAGTTTTTTGGTTTGAGAAGGCTGACATGCGCGCAGATTAGAATTACGGATGTAATTTGGAAAAAATACTTTTAGAAGCTTGGGGTAAGCTGGTAGCGACGCGCGTGACATGTGTTGGAAGAAAAGGCAGACTCGGAGAGAGGAAGAGTACAACAAGATAAGCGGCGTCTAGGTGGGATGGGATAGGACTGGGCGTGTGAGGCCGAGTCGAGCCGCGCCGTGAAACTGACGGTGTGGGCGTAGAGCGGACCCGATGATAGCGGCTCTCGGGCGGACGAGCGCAGGTAAAAAGGGACCGACGACAAAGTGGGGGTTGGATAGCTCATAGCGCCGCGCCGCCGCGAGCGCCCGCGAGCCTCCTTCTGCCTTTTGCCCAAGTATGTCGCTCGCTTGTTTCCTCCACCGAGCACGCAATTAGCAGCTACGCGCGGAAAAGTTTAGCCGCGGCGATCGGCGCGTCAAGTGCCCATCATCGCTCGGCAATCGCGCGTTTATCGCCCGCGCGATCCGGAGCGCGCTAAGCACGTTGAGATGGCATTGTTAATTTATTGAGCCGATGCGTATCGTTCGCTACCGGCTTTCTCGACCGATCGGTCACCTTGCCTTGAGACTTTTCCTCGGTTTTTTCGGAGGGCTTGTTCGCCTCCTCATCGAGACGATCGGTCCAGTGAACGAGCGAGCGTCGACGCATTCCCAACGCGGAAATCCGAGCGATCGATCGGCTCGCGCGCAGCAGTGGCGGCAACGATATCAGACGTGATCCCGCTGCCGGCGGTAGCGCGATTCGCATGCGAGCCTCGTAGTCGAGGTCCGCGCCGACGGCTTCTTGTCCATATCCGGCTGCCGGCTGCCGCGACTCGGACGAGGAGCACGCACTTGCCGGAAGTCACGTTGCCGATTCGAAAGGAAGCCTGCCTGCCCGCCTCTCCGTGGTTGATCGGCTGCGGCTCTCGCCTCTGCGTACGAGCGCGCTATTTCCTCGAATTCCGATGAGCCATTCGCCGGCTTCTTTGCTCTGGCTATCAACCCGAGAGACATTCGCAGGTAGCGATCCCCGACGCGGCTGCTCGCGTATGCTCGGCGCGCAGTCCGCGGGAATTTCGAGAATCGATCGTTGCCATTGTGCCATCGAGGTTTGTCGCGCGCGAAAAAAAAAACTTTGTTTGCAAGTCCGAGAAGCGCGTAATATCAGTCTCGCGCGCATAACGATGCCGGTTCGCTGCACGCGAAGCCTGCGCCCGGCTGACTTCCGTCTCTGGAGATGCTTACTCGGGAAAAACTGCGCTTCCTCCGCACTCCGACCGTCGAGCGCGAGAGAACGGTCGCTCGGTTGGCCGTGGCCACGTTGAAAGTGCTGCGAGTAACGAGAAAGACGTGTTCACGGAAGCCAAGCGTTCGGCTTGTCGCGCACTGCGCATTTGCGCGAAACGGCCCGTACGTCGTAAGCGAGCCGGGGGCTCGACGCGTTCCCCATGCGAGCGCAAGAAGCTGTTGAAAAGTCGTAGTTAGCCGGGGCATTTATCGCCGGCTGGCTTGGCATTTTTCACAGCCGTCATCACTCAAAGCCGGCCGCATGGCTTCCTTAATATTCCTCTCGGGTCCTCGGCGTCGTACCGCCACACTCGGAAAAAACCACCTCTTCGTTTACTCCCGTAAATAGTTACTCGCGTGTCGTGTCGTTCGAGAGCAGCGTGAATGTTTGTAGCATGCGTTTTTTGAAAACACGCTCGACTTTCCAGGAAAGACTCGGAGATTATCGTCGAGGCACATTAATGCCAGAGACAGTGAAAGAAAGATCGAGGAGCGCCGTTCGGGAGCTGTGCAGTGAATCGCTAGTTCAAACACGTCTACAATATGCATAAGAAACGGTAAGAAGTAGCGCTGGCCGGGCTGGGTTGGGTTGGGTGTAACACTAACGAATTTCGATGCCTCATCCGGACACTAATACTATACGAACACTAACTCGTTTGCTTGCGAGCTTATACGTAATGGCTATACGCCTACAAGGATATCGCTCGAAACTGCCGTGCCTGTTCGTTCGATGAATCAGTTGGGTCGGATCTTCCTTTCGTTTCGGCAAATGTCGATCGACAGCAAGTGCTCGAACGTGGCATCGAATCGAAACAATCGTAGAACCGACGTCCTTGCCGAAAAGCGGCGCGCAAGTATAGGTAGGACAACGAGTTTGCAGTGGCTCATCCGACTGCAGCTGTTTATCCCGCACGCTCCAGTCATCGCGGGTAATGGGAGTGGAAGAGCGGGCTCGGCCGAGGAAACAAGAAAGCGCTTCAGCTGTCTCGGCGAAGCTGTCGAAAGGTAACTCCGGCGCGGCGGCGACTTAGCTGGCCATTCTTGGGCGCGTGGGCCAGGTGCTAATTGGACGAACAAGCAGCTGGATTGAGTCTGCTGCGCGCTGGCGGCGCAACGCGAGCCACTGCTGCCCGATAACGCACGAGATTTCGTAACCTACGGCCTACCCGTTCGTGTTGTCCATCTGCTCGCTTTGCCGACTTCGATTCGGCCCTTTTTCCGTCGCGACTTATCGGATGTGCGAGCGCTAATGCTCGAGTCGACTCGCACTTTGCTGTCTAGTGCTAAAGCTCTCGTGTCTACCCACTAATTAGTGGGCCAAGCGGGCCAATTAAGCTTTGTTCAAGCCCCAGTGGCAAGAAGCTGCCGTAACTCGTTTTGCGACCACTTGTTAAGTGACTTTCGATGCCGACATCCTGTATATACGTGCTGCTTTCCTTACACCACCGCACTCGCGTTTTACTCACCGACCCTCGCAAGCTTCTTCGATCTTCTTTTACGATGCTCTTCTGTCGCAAGTCCACTTTCATCCAACAGCATGTCACCCCACCAAATCGCTAAAGCACCAACTAACGTTGCGTTTGCGGCCGATCACTGTCGAGTGTCGACCCGCTTGCCCGCCCAACCATCTTATGACGCATTCGCCAAACTGTACGACTTTTGGTATATATCTAGCTTCTCTCTCGTTTTATGCTATTATTTCTTGTCAATATTGACGTATCTTTCACCAAATTCCCAAGTCAGATTGCCACCTGCACCCAACTTTGCAGCAAAAACGCCGACATTTCTTACTTTCTTTTTTTTCTTTTTTGCCATATCTTTGATCAATTCACGCAAATTCAGGGATATCGAATGCTTTCGCTTTATTGTATCAACTTTATTCAAATCTAAAAAACAACATACATTATACCACAATATATAAAGTCTATAACAAACTTGGTGTACAATAGTTTCTATTTTTGCATCGATGCTCCAGCTACTAAACACAAACTTGTGAACTTGGGATGCACTGCCAATAACGAATTATATATGTAAATGTGCCAAAATTAAATTTTATCACATAAGATCACAACACAAATATTTCCTGGGTGCAGTACTATCAATCATTATTTTTTTATACACTCCATTGGTTAAATATTAAGAATTACGTTGTATTTCTTGAAATAGGAGATAGCTGTTTTCGTTCTAAAATATTATTTATAATCCAACCTTAATTTTATACATAATATTGTAAATAAGATAATGTCTATGAACACTATAATTGTAAAAACTTAATTGAATCCTTTGGTTGCGAATGCAAAGCACTAAAAAGCATGAAGTCATTTTTTAATTATCGCCATATACTTTGAATTTATGTAAACGTATGCAAATTAATTTTATATATATTTAGCTATTATTATATCGCTTTTTTATATTATTAGACCAGAATCAAACTAATTTTAAGTACTTTTGATCGAGCACCATTTTACAAATTTATTTATATTCAGTAACTTACACTAAGATAATGCAATTTGTGCTCCCAATCTTTATATAACGTGAATACTTCACTTTCGTCATTTTTAAAAATTTTCTACGATTATCACAAGCTTTTGAGTAAAAAAGGCAACCTCTATACATTTCCGAAAAAGTCAAGTTGTCTAGGCCACTTGCATATTAGGTTACAATCCAAATTCGTTTGATTTCAACAAATTTAATAAGCTCTACGACTACACTTTGTATAAAAAGTCTGTTATACCAGCTCTATAAGATATGTCTTTCATATTTATTGCTACCTTATTTTTATTTTTTGTTTTTGGAAATAGAAGCGTTTAATTTGACGGTATCGCTGAATTTTTTTAATTTTCGTTTTTTTTACTCTATTGTTAATGCGGTTATTGTTATTGTTGCGTCATGCTACATACGAGTTCTCAGTTGGACAATTTCCAAATAATTATTTGTCAAACACTATTAATATGAAAAAAATGAATATTTAATGGTATTTCTTTTTATTAAAGTCATTTTAAAAAGATTATATATGAAAACAAAATAAGCTCTATTACTGCATATGCATCACAGCATTGAATTATAATAGTAATGTGATGTTAAATTTAACTTAGAGTGTTATCATCTGACCCTGACTAGTATAACAACAAACCCAGCATCAAAGAAAAATATGCTGGTGTATCACTACTTTTACCATAATTAAATTCAAATTATGATAAAATTGTTTAACATTAAAAATTTAATCACATAATCTTGCAAATGCTGTATATTAAACTAAACAAACTCTTTTATTCCATCTTACACTACGTGAACTTATCAAAGTTTATTATATGAAAAATAATTGCTTTTAATTTATACAAATTACTTCAACAATTATACGTTAAGAAATTTTTAAGTTTCTACTGGTCGATTACTTTGTGTACTGATGTTTTTATCTTTTCTCCAAAATTAATATATACAAAATGTAATATTTTGTAAATACTTTTTTACTAGCATTTGAATAGTATCATTTTGTCAAATAACTTAACATAAGTTATACAAATTCTATATATGATAATACAGATCTGACAAGATTTTAAGGTTGATAATTTAACTTTTGTCTATAAAATAAACAATATTTAAATAAGCAATTTAAAGTGAATTACTTTAAGCATAATGTTTATCATATACTCATATCAACAGAAAAAAAATTTCTGAATCTAGACGTAATCATAACATTTTTTATAAAATTTAATTAATAATAAAAATTTTTTGAATATATTATTGTGCGCTTAAATAGTAAGAATATAATTATTTTTAAATTTTATTTGTTACATAAGATCTTTAAAGAAAGATCATCTACGTATGTTGAAGTAATATGTATCTATTTTTCAAATATAATTTTCAAACATAAATAGACTATTATTCTATAAATTTGTATTAATTTAAAGAATTGATTAATTTAGCACTAAATAATTAAGCCCGCTACCTAGTCCACTACCGTCAATATTATTTAAATTTATTTTCGACACTCCATGCGGAAAGCACGTACTTTTCGCACGCTTGACTAAAAACGTGCTTTCCACATGTTCGGGAAAGAGTTTCTCTTGTCGTGTGCCTTTCCATCCTCGCTTCGCTCGGGCGTAAACACCGTAAACACCACACGAGACACGAGAATCTACTATTCCGCGCGTGTATCTTAATGTACTATTTCATTGAACTTTGACAAGATAGAAATTCAAATTACCACGGTCGAAGGATAAACAAAGATATAAAAATTATATGGTTATGGAAAAAAGTAGTCTTTTACAATATGTATGACTTCCGCAATATTTGAATTAAAAAAATGAACTATAAAGGGAACGTCAATTTTTGATAGACTATTTAGTTCTAAACAGTAGTTGAACTACTATTATTTACCGTATTCAATAGTAGTGGATAATTATTTGCGTTCTTTAGCAGAGTTTACAAAATCACAACTTGATTCAAAATTCCCACGATGTATACGATGCAGTCCACGGAGTAACAACTGACCATGTTGGAAATTGCGAAAGAAAACTTTTGAATCTGAGCGATCGTTGATTTTCACCATGCAAGAAATGACCAGCTAAAGCAATTGATAAACTCGGACCTTTGTGATTCTTTGGAATCTAATAAAAAGAAAGAATATAATTATTTATTTCTTGGTAATAATTTTCCATTTTTATATAAGTACGGCAATTTATAATTATACTCTTGTAATTTATTTATACTTTAATAGATTATTTTTGAAAACTTAGCGTTTGGTTGAAATATTAAAAAATTGTTACAGTCATAATGACAATGAGTAGAAATTCGAAATGTTTAAAATGAAAACTTTGATATATTATTGTTTACTTACTTCCAAATCTACAGACAAGTTCATAGGTTCACAATCTTTGACACATGAGTAATATACAAAGTAGGTTTCTCTTTCATTCCATGTAGGTCCTTGTAGTGGTTTTTCATCGAGTATGTTCCATTTTCTTAAATGTAAATTTTTATGAGGAGATAACATAACGCCAATATGGTCTGGTCCTTAAAAAAGAATACAAGGTCTTTCGATATACGTAATGAACAATGATCCTTGTCTTTTCTATGAAAAGGTATTTTTACCTGTTATATTAAATGAGAAAGTTAATGAATTTTCTTTTACGGATTTTGTTATTAAATCTAAAGTGGTTGGTGTAGGAATTAGTGGAGGTGGTCCTGGAATCCAACTGGTTTTCCTGTAAATTTCAGATTCATAAAATTACCACAATTTGTTACGAATAATAGTGAAATTAATAATAAATCAAATATAATAGGCGGAATGTATAACAGACAAAAATACTGTATTTTTAATGCTGAAAGTATTCAATTACCACAAAAATGTTGTTACTGGCACTAAATATGGAAAGCCGCAGAATAATTCGTTATTGCAGTCCTCAACTGTTGATATTGCAGCACCGACTTCGGGAACCATTGCTTCGATACTATGAGGACTATTCATATCTAAATTAACTATCCAGTACCCAGTACCTGAATATCGTACTGTACCATCAAAATTATAATATTGCCTGTGTGTATGCTAAGTAAAATAATAAATAGAATCAAATAGAATTACTTTTAAAAAGTACTTTGTTGCAGTATATCAACACGTTCTCCAAAAATAACTTACCACAATCATAAATCTTTCTGGAGCTGGAGACATTGGATCTCCACTATAGGGAAATCCAAGAGGAGTTAATATCAATATACCTGTGGCAATTAAAAATACTCCAACTAATACGCTAATCACTCTGCTTGCATTTTTGACTAGGATGACAATGGGCATCTGAACATATATCAAATATTGATTTTCGGCGTTAATTCAAAATAAATATCGAATGCCATTATTTATATAATACTTTATGGTGAGTATGCATGTGTTTTTATTTCGTCACTACACTAACAGTACGTATGTGTTATGCTCTGACTTCAATTCGTTCAGTCACTTTTTAAAATAATTTATTAACGAATTTTGCATCTTTCGAAATAACCATACGTGAATGGAATATCTCAAATTTAGCAGAAAGTGCAATAGCAAATATAATACAGCTACAATTTAAATAAGACGATCTACGGATTTTATGAGTAAGAATATTTGAAAAATATGTTAAATACTATTTTACTAAGATTATAAATTGATAACTTTTATGGAATAGGCGATTTGTAATAAGGCAGATATAACATTAAATAAGAAACAATCGAATAATTGTATAATTATCTAAATGTGTAATAATTGTATCACTTAATATCATTTAATTCAAATAAGTATCATTATCAATTTTTTAAACATTCAACTGTGATCGTGTCTCAACGTTAAGTGTCTTCGATACAAATGCACTTGAACTTATCTTTGATCAGAACACGTACACTTATATACTTTTAAAACCTTATTCGCAGTGAATGAAATGTAATAAAATAAAATTACCGTGAAACTTAATAGTAGACAAAACAGAACGGATAACATATTAGCCATAACAACTTCAGAATTAATGCTTCCACCAGCTCGGCCCATTAACGGGATAAATAAGTAGAGAGCACCGATTGATAAATAAAACGATTGTATATAAGGTAAACTTAAGGTGCCCATATGAAAACAGAGCCATTTCCAATCTGCAGAAATATAAACACTTTATTGGTGTACTGAATAATTTATAATAAAGTATTAAATTTGATTACAATACCTCTCCATTTATTGAAAAAAGTTTGACGCAAAATATTTCCGAGCGATAGAAATAAAACCCAATGTAATGGTATAAAACCCGACCGTATATCCAGTAAAATGCAAAAAAGTAAAACTGTCATCCAAAATACGTTGTATGCATCGAAGTATAACTGATACAGAGTCCAAGATGAATAAACATCCTACAAAATATTTAAAAATTTGCAGTTCATTTCCACGATTAGTTTTCTTTAATAAATTACATAACGAATATTAGAATTGCTAAGAATTCCTCAACTTCTATTTATTTTCCAACGAAAATTCGATTGACTTAATGGGCCGCTATGGTAAATTTAATTTTATCTTATTATATTACTAAAATCATAAATACATTCAGTTTGTGAAAAATCAATGTAGATAATAATCTTAAAGATTAATTAAGAATAGAAATATGTATGGCGTAAATTGATGATTAGATTTCTAACTGTGAAATTGAAAAGAAGATTGTTAACCGTAAGTTTACTAAAACTTTTAATAATATTTAATAACGCGATTGTAAAAAACAAAAGATAAAAGAAATTATATAACATTTACTCAACTAATAGATAAAAAGATATAAAAATATAATAAATCCATTTGGTTACTATCAGTAGACCATTAATTTGGTATATTTCATCTCGAAATAAGAAAGTGATGATTCCAATTCCAAATGATTTAATTTCATTTGGTTTTCAACTATCATTTTCGTTATAAAGAATTCTCTAATCTAACTCGCAAAGTTGTAAAGTATTATTATAACTCTCAAAATTAAAATAAGTATGGAAGTTTTCGATTTTCTCGTCTTTAAATTTTTAGTGTTATGTTTTATTTACATATGAACAACACAAACCTTTTTCTGTCGAGCAGCCATGAAAAGAAAGAAAGTCATAGAAACAGCAACAGTTGGACAAACATAAAGAAAAAAAAGCCATGCTGGTCGAGCATACCAACTCATTACTTTACCAAGTTTTGTTAGTAAGAGAGCAATTATGGTAACTGAAATCATTGAAATAATCCAAGAACATATTACAATTGCAATACATATTATTAGTTGCTTTATGTATGCAGATCTTTTAATGTCTGAAAATTTTTTAAATAATTAATGTTAGCCTGTTTTAATTGACATTAATAAAATATACAATTGGAATGCAACTTACCTTTTCGAACACTGTTCATGTTTACATTAACAGAATATAACCCAATTATCATCCCAACAATATTTACAATTCTTGCCATATATTCAGGCCATCTTATAACAAAAGCTCCCAAAAAGTCAAAAAAAACAAGTGAACCCTCTGGAGTTTGTAGGCTAGCATCTGACAAATAATGTCCAGTCACTATACTCAGAGATAGGGCTAAAATATTGTCACCTGTTCTCTGTAATGAGCCCAAAGGTATTTGGTCAATAGTATCAAATTTGGTATGATAAACATAACCATTTGTTGACCAAGCAAAATCTAAACCTATATTGAGAAAGAATTAAAATTTACAAAATAGATAGATTTTATGAAATCATTTCTAATTTATATAAATTTAATACAATATTCCAGTAATTACCAGATACATTGCCAAAATCTCTGAAGATGCGAAAATCAGTTTCTCCTGGTACTATACCACTCTGGAAAATTTCTTGAGCTAATGATGATGCATATGGATATGGTACAGAGCTTGAGTATGCCTATAAATACCAAATATTCAATAAAAAATGTCGTAAGTTTGTTCTAGAATGATACTTTAATTAAGAGCATACTTCTAAAATCCAAGGATTACCAGGCCCAGCTTGAAATAATAATTCTCTTCCACCAGCTCCACATGCTTCTAAATTTATGAAAGCTCTTACTTCTTTAGCCCAAGGATGCTGAGTTATGAACCCATGAGAAGCCTATGATGAATAATTATTGTATTTTTGTATAAATAAAATGGTTGCTATTTTTACTTAAGAAATCAATATTATTTTCAAGTAATATCTTTAAGAGTAACATATACTTTACTTGTAAGACGTTTTCTTCAGCTCCATTGAATAAAAATATTATATTATATCTTAAATATTTTGAGCTTTGTGAAATTACTCTAAAAATTTCTAACATAACTGCACAACCAGCTGCATCATCAGAACCTCCTAAAATATAATCATATACGAAATAAGTCTAACAACTTTACAAAATTAAACTTGCAAAACATTCCTTACCTGGGCTTTCAACAAAACTGTCAAAATGACAATTTAGTAAAAGGCTATATTTTGATAACTGGTGAGGCCCAATTTTTACAATTACATTTTGAACATTTTTATAAATATGAGTCATACCGTCGAGAAACGTTAAAGAAAAACTACCACTATGTCTTGTAGTATCAACAAGAATCTTGTGATGACGATTTGCATTTTTTCTAATACTATTTATAGTATTAGTCAAAAATTGAACAGCTAAAATTTCATTTTCATAACTTCCAGCTACTCTAGGACCAAGAGATGTTAGATTATAAACATGATTCCTAGCTCTTTCAGCTACAAATCTTTCAGGATGAAATTTTTCTGAATTAATTAATTGAGGTTCAGGTAATATCTTTTCCAAAACAATGACTGTCAAAGATACTGATAAAATAAATGTAAGAGCAAAGAGTAAATGTTGTGTTCCACTTTGTTGGTCAATTCTTGGCTTTAATATAACTCTAGATTTGAAAAAAAGTTCTTCTGGTTGTTTTTGAGCCAAATGATGTCTATACCTTATTCCGTCACTCTATATTCATAAAGGAGCATTATCAAATTAATTATTAAGCTGTTCAACAATTTTTAAATAAATGTGAACAATTTTACCATGGTTTTCGTCTAAGGTAATCTTGTTGCTTCAACATGTACATACAAGTTTTATCATAAATCACAAACTCTTTTTACACTTCTTTGTCAAAGAAAAGCTTTATTCCAAATTTGCTTATCACTGTAACAAAATACTGTATTTGCCTTTGTATAGAATAAGATTGAAATTAATGTATTTAAAATAGATTCAAGTCATATATTTATCTGCCCATGACAATCAACTACATTACCTATTATTTACAATTAATTTGAAATATTTTTTTTAGTATATGCATTGTGGAACTGGATCGTTCAATTTTATGAAAAACAAATTGACTTATTTTTCTCTTTTTCCAATTTTGATATTAATTTTTTTATTTACAAGTAACTGATTTAGTTCTTGTTATGAAATCATATTTATTACTTTCATTTTCAAGTTACATACCTTATATTATCAAATTAATGTGTATATGTACAAAATTGCAGATAACAGAACAAACGTGAATTTCCTTGAAAGTTCAAATTTTTAACTTTTTACAGAGCTATGCTATTGCACAGAAGTTTTCTGGATATACCTTTTTTCAATATATAGGCAACTGCCATTGAGAGTATTTGTTTTTTTCAAACAAAAAGAAAAATTTTACAATTTTTTTACTATGACCAAGTGTCAGATAAGGTCATAAGGTTAACTTTGCAGCAGCAGAAGCAGAATAGTAGTATATATATATATGTACATATATATATAGAGCGGAATTGACACATATATATGTATATAACATATAAGTTCGCTAGTGTCGGCTTTACTGTGTATTTGTACTCTTGTGCACGTTTATTGACTGAAAAAGTATTGTGTAGCCGGCTTGCGTTTTTAAGTTATTTTTTAGGTTTTACGTTTCTTTTTTTCTCAATAAATAAATTAGAAATAATCTTTCAAAATGTCTCTCGTCAAAATTACTTCTACTGATGAGTACAAAAATTTTATCAAGTAAGTTAGCACTAAATTTATCATTATAACCTACGTAAAGTTTTACGTAGTAAAATTTCTGTGTATTTCTGTTCATTTCTTTGATGTATCATTGTTGTGTATTTATTTAGTAAACTTGGATAACAGTTTCTAATCTATTTTTTTTGCCATAAGACTAATTCTTGTATGAATAAATTGACAACAATTTAATGATTTTGTTCATACCTACTTAGGTCAGATGATTTATCAATCATTCATTTCTATGCACCATGGGCAGAACAATGTGTTCAAATGAATGAAGTACTTGAACAATTAATAAAATTAGATTCATACAAAAATGTCAAATTTGCAAATATTGTTGCTGAAGATCTACCTGAAATCTCATTGGAGTGTAAAATAGAAGCTGTACCAACAACTTTATTATTTAAAAGTAAAAAAATTGTTGGAAGAGTAGATGGTGCTAATCCTAGTGAAGTTAGAGAAAAAATTGATTCACAAATATCCAGTTCTAACAAACCAGAACCAGAAAATCTTGAAAAAAAACTTGAGAAGTTAATAAACAAAGCACAATGCATGTTGTTTATGAAAGGAAATAGAGAAAATCCAAGGTGTGGATTTTCAAGAACAATGGTAGCTCTATTAAATGAACACAAAGCAGACTATGAAACTTTTGACATTTTAGAGGATAATGAAGTCAGGGAAGGTTTGAAAAAATATAGCAATTGGCCAACATATCCACAACTTTACATAAAAGGTGAGCTTATTGGAGGTTTAGATATTATTAAGGAAATGAGTGAATCAGGAGAATTAGATAGCATGTTACCAAAAGACTCAGGAAACGTTGAAGATAAGCTCAAAAAGCTGATAAATCAAGCCCCTTGCATGTTATTTATGAAAGGAAGTAGAGATGTACCACGTTGTGGATTTTCAAAAACAATAACAGCTATACTCAATGAACATAAAGCAGATTATCAAACATTTGATATATTAGAAGACAATGCTGTACGTGAAGGTCTCAAAAAATATAGTAATTGGCCTACGTATCCACAATTGTACATTAACGGTGATTTAATTGGTGGTTTAGATATCGTTCGAGAAATGAATGAGTCTGGTGAATTGGAGAATATATTGCCAAAAAAGGAAACATAAATTGTACTTTCTTTTTAAATTAATTTCAATTATATATTTTCAGCAAATGTAAACAGTTTGAATAAAAATACAGACTTATATTTTCATTTCATTGAATATTTTATTCATTTAAGTTTTTACAAGATATATAGATAATTTAATTTGTTAAATCTACCAATACAAGTGTGCTGCATAATTTAAATGCAGATAAGTTATGTGATCAAATTATGTTTGTACTATGAATAAAAACAATTTAGCTCTGTAAACTTTTTTCCTTAAATAAATAAAATAAAACTATTTTGAATTATTATTTCTAGACTATTTCCTCCTAATATAATATTAAGCATTAAAGTGCATGATTAAGTCACATTCAACACAAATATTTTAATGTTAATTGATTTAGATAGACTCAAACACATGTACCAACAAATTTGAAGCCTAATGTATGAAATGATGATATGAGTTATTTGATTATTTATAAACATAAGCTTATTAAATGATATTTTTTGTAATAACTACCCATTTTTTATTAAATATATTTATACAAACCTGTTTTTACAGAAAAAAATTACTAACAGTATTATTAAACTTCAAAATATTCATATATTATTTATTTTTTTTTATTTCTCGAATTTTTTCGTAAGTGTTTGTCTTTCTTGCTTCGAGAAAGAATATTCTTAAATGCATCATTTTTGACTTTATTTCTGCAAAAAACAAAAGTAATATGTCAATATTTTTGCCTGTAATTTTTTGTAAAATTATTTGTCTATTTTTACCTTCTATTTAACATTGATCTTTTCAGAGGAATATATGCATAAGGATCCGGTTTACCCTTTCTTTTTACGTCTCCAAAAGCTTTTTGAGCACGGTATTCTTCGCCAAAATTGTTTTCTTTTTTGCGTGATTTTAAGGGACGATGAATTCCAGATCCTCCAGCTAAAAATATTTAAATCGTTACTTATTGTATAGGATGTTTTGAAACATCTATTTTTGCAAATGTATTTTAAAAATGCGCTACTCAGAAATTTAAGTTGCAATAGATCTTACAATTGAACTGATATTTTAAAAATATCTATAACTAGTATTTGATTGATATTTCTTTTTCAGGGAAACATTTTTTAATAAAAGCATTTATCCAAAATATGTACTACAACAAACAAAAGATGTTTATTCAGAGAGTTATTAAATTAATTAATCGTAATCTAGATTTGTGGATCGCCTGCATGTAAAATATTAAAGGGACGAAGCAACAAAATCGCCAATTGTATGTAAATTCATGAAGGTTCCATCAAATAGATGTTAATGTAGCACGTTTTTTTCAAGATAAAATACAATAATCGCTATTAGCAATTTTTTTCAATGCTAATAGCATACACATTACCACATTCGTATATAACTATATACGCCGTAACTTGATTATTTAGTAACTTACTTCTAGAATTTTGAATATTTTGAGACTTAATACCTTATGCTTCAAAATGTATTTATATAAGTGAATTCAACTAATATATCTTCTTCATATTTTTCAATGAAGTGAGTACAAAAATGTACAATTAAATTTCTGCACTTACCTTGATATTTGGAAGACAGAGATTTAGACTCAGAATGCACACTGTCGATTTCTGTAGTACTGAGTTTTCGTTTTCTATTCATAAATTCAGTTGTTTTATTTGATTTCGTTGATTTAGCTGTTTTAGTCGATTTCGCTGATTTCATATCGTCATCGCCTATTTGACAATGGAATTTGTTAATTAATTAGTATTAGCATCAAGTTATAAATGTTTGAAAAGTACATACCAAGATCTTCATCTGAGTCGCCATCCAAAAACGGTAATTTCTTTTTCTTTTTTTTACTCATTTCATCAGCACTATCGTTATCGCTATCAGCAATAATTAAACGTCCATCCGAAGCAGTTTTGAATCCACGATTATTACTTGCGTTTTTAAGATTAATATTTTTAGTTTTACTTGGTTTAGTAGCTGAAATTTAATATAAAATGATGGAGATAATATTGATACCTTAAAACGAATTGAATTTAATATAAAAACCTGAGATATTTTTAATTGCAGTAGGGTCAATGAAGTCAACAATGTTATCTTCGCCTTCTTGAATCCACGTTTTCTTTGTGGACTTGCGCTTTTGGATTTTTTTGCATTCATCAGAATCACTGAATTCTTGATCACTATCCGCCAATATTTCTTCCAGACTATAAAAATTATAAAAATTAATTTAAATATTTTAAGATGATTTGTTATAAAAATAATCATTTAGCATATATGACAAACCTTTTTGGTTTTCTTTTAACGTTAAATTCTTCATCACTCTCGTCGTCTTTATTTGCCTTTCTTGTTTCTTTAAGCTTTTGTTTTCTAAGTTCAACTTTACGAATATTTTTTAATCTTTTATGCATGATGTGATCTGAAGTTGGTACTATATTTGTAATTATATCAGCTCCAAATTTTCGCATTAATTTTATCAATATATCACGAACTTTTTGCCGGAAATGCCGCTTACAATCATCTGTCATGTTAGTTAATGCGTCGACCTGATACATTTTATTTTTTAATAGTAATTTAGACGTATACGTCACAATTGCATTTTTTTAAATCATTGTAAGTACACTTACTATTTTATTTAACATGGGAGCTATTGTAGGCGTTGGAATAACTGACAGATATACTTTTATAAAGGACAGTGCAGATAGTGCTATTTCACGTGTAGGTCCAATAACGAGATTGCAAGTGAATTCCAATATTTTTTGCACTGTTTGAATACCCAATGATCCTGCAAAGTAATTTTTAGTAACAAATAAATTATATTTCTTCTGATATTCAATAATAAATATTCAAAAAGTACCGTTATAATGATAAGTGATGGAGGAAAGAGCTAAAAGCGAAGCACTGCAATATATCGGTGCTCCGCCAAGACCAGCTATCAAAATATCGATATATTCTTTTAAGTGTTCTTCGTTTTCTAGAAATTTGTTAGCTATAGAGTTCAATAAATTGTAAGAAGACGTTCGACATCTCTCATTAACTTCCTTCAAACACATAACCGCCTCTGGCACAATAGCTTGTAGAAATTTGGTTTTTTCTAGTTGAGGATGTTTATTTACAAGATGGTTTATGCACCGTATACGCGCCTGTAAATTTCAATTGATTTGGTAAATACTCACTTTAATTCTTAAACTTTTTAAATTCTATCAAGATAATGTGTATATGAGAATAAATGCAAGTATCGAACTTACACCTTTGCTAGATTTTTGTACAGTTGTCAAAGACTTTACAATTACTTTTTGAATAGCTTTACGGTTTTCTTTTACAAATTCTTGACATACTACAGTTTCACTTCCAGTTATTTCCTCAAGAAATCTGAAATTAATTGTTTATGAAATAATTCGGTAATGAACATTTTATACATTATTAACATTTATAAGGACTGTTAATTTTTCCTCGTAGAACAATACGATTTTATTGCACGATAGAGTCTCGAAGTTATAAAAAATAACATTACGAAAATTAAAAAATTTGCGATTCTCGTTTATTAGATATTCATGGATAAGTTTTAAAGTAAAAGAATGTATAAACGATCCTCGCGCAATCGTTCTTTTATTATTTTTAATTTTAGTATTTCAATATTTTAATATTAATTTAATATGTAAAAAATTATTGAAATTAATATTCTGTCAAAATCATTATTTCTTTTTCTTTTCAAAATTCTCTAAAATAAACTCTCCTAATACCGTAAAAAAATTACAAAATTAGTTTATATTATATAACTTACCTGTAAGCTTTTTTCTGTTCTTTTTGATGTTTTGTATCTTCGAAAAGAGCTGTACATTTCTCATATAACAATTTTATTCTATCAATATCTGTATGTTGGCACAAAACTCTGACTAAGTCAAAAATACTTTCTTTGAAGAAATCAGTTTCATTTGTTTTCGTTAAATTTTCTAAAGCTTTGTCAAACAGTTCTCCCACTAGATCTTTACTAGTTATTTTCATGTATATCTGAAAAAATTAAAAACATTGAAATTAGTTTCAATAAAACTCAACATAAATTTAACTGGGTTAAAAAAAATATTCAATAGAATTATATTGTTCAGTAGAATTATAATGTAAACTGTTTTGAACTTTATACCTTAATAGTTTCATAGCAAGCAAGTCTTTGTCCTTCCTCATCAGAACCTCGAGGCTTGAGCGTGTACAAGTTGAATAAAACTGGTAAATAATTTTTAGCAAATCGTGCCAGTTCTTCAACGCCATCCTGATTGTCATTCTCCATGGATTTTTGAATTAATTTTCGCAATGAAGTCATAACAGATAGACGTAAATTTTTTCTCTGACTAATGGCCATACCTAGAGTTTTTGCTATTTTCTATGATAAGAAATATTGGTAAAATTAATAAATGTGATATACATTTTAACAATCTTCACACATTAGGATAAAATTGTAAGATACCATGAAATTTTCTTTTATATCGGGTGGATTATTGCAGAAACATGGTAAAAGAGCCCAGATTTGCGAGCTTAATAAATCATAACTGTGAGATCCAATGGCATCGTATTTTCCTTTGAAATCGTTGGATTGTGCACTATTTAATTTGAAAAATAATTGTAAAATGAGTTTTTAAATAATCTTTGTAAAAATTAAACAAGTAACTTACTCGCAAGACTCTGCCAATGGAAGTAAATTATCTATGAAGTACGCAAGAGGGGAATTAGTGATACAATCTTTTAGTATCGGTAGTAACCAACTTCGTTTTAAATCTACGATGCCGTTTGATACCTGAAATTTTATTTTAATTGTTATCAATTGTTAATAAATCATCATTAGTTCTATACAAACTCAGAAATGGATAATTGTTATTAATTTGACAAACCTGCAATGGAATAGCAGATAAAACTACTTGTGGGCCCAAAGATTTGACTGCAGCACCTACTGCGAATTCAATATCGGCATTGTAACTGAATTGGAAAAAATCACGAAGCTCTGCTAAAGCTTTTAGAAGGTAAGTTAACTCTGTTTGACAAATTGGTCCAATAACCTGTTTAAATAATCTCAATCAATATAAGTTTTAAAACAATTATTTTTATAAATAATATCAAGAAATTTACTGTAAATATTGAAGCTGAAATATGAAGAACTTGATGCCATGCATCATGATATGGATATTTCATTCCTTGTTGAATGAGACTTATGATTTTAGCAAGAGTGGGTCTGTACCTTTTACAAAAATATAAACATAAATTATAGAATTTTTCATAAATTATAAAAAACAAATATAATTTTGTATAATTCAAGATTCTTACTTGTCTGAAAGCTCTTTTTTCTTACACAAGGGTGCAACGCATGTTTCGAGAAGAGCTGTCAATGTGTGTGATGCATTTGTTCGGACATCTTGTTTGTCTGAAAGCCATAATTCTGTACATTTTTCAACTATTCTTGAAAGATTGGCTGCACACAACTCAATGTTATGCCTTCATATAGAAACATATATAATAAATAAAAAATTTGTAAAAAATACAAAAATAGGTTTAATTTAATATTAAATCAAAGATGTGGATCATACAAAATATTTATATAATAACTATATAGTAATATTATTACTTACACAGCTAAATTACAATGTGCTTCCTGCATAACTGCCAACCAAGCTAATGTTGGTTGAGTATCTCCACGAGCTGGCTGATGTTCATAAAGTGCATTAATAATTTGAGCATTCAATTGAGATGGCAATATGGCTTCACTTGGTTTTGATATAAATAAACTATGCATTGTTTGAAGACAGCATGAAGTAACCAAAATATCTTTCATAAGCATGATACTAAGAAGTACTTCACATAACGACTAAACATACAATAATTGATTATTATGGTCAATTTTTATGTGAATCAATTATAATGTGTACATATCAAAATAATATACCTTAACATCACATTTTGGAAGTTGATGAACAATATCTTTAAGTAATGTTAGAAGGTGAAGTGTAGTGGTCATGTGACCAGGTTGACCAGCTGCTTGGAGTTGTTGTATACAATGTTTAGCAATTAGTGAAGCTGCTGGATGATTCGTTGGAGGATTATCAGTTCTCATGATATCACTGCCTGAAATATAATAAAAAGTTACACGATGAAAAATTAGTACTAAATTTAGAAAATAAAGTGAAAATTAGATCAATAAAACCTTTTAGAAGAGAGCAAATAGCATGTTGAGCAGCTTTCCTTACTTTGGGTTTAGAATGAACAGTAAAAGCTAATAATGAATTCAAAATATGTTCTGTGGAAGAATTTTTCCATATAGCTCTTTCTTGGTTCCTTAATAAAATTGAGAGACAACCAATACACTGAAATGGAAATGAAATGAATAAATTTCAGGTTAAAAAATAAAAGGTTTGAGGAGAATGTTCAATATTACATGTCGAATAATTAGAAAATTATCTTCAGATGAAAATTTTGTCAATATTTTTAGAAATATTTGACTGGCTTGCCCAAACTGTAATTTAAGTACATTTTTCGGTACTGTCTTCATTCCCATTCCTAATAAAGATAAGATTGCAGAAATAGACTCTACTGTTTCAGCAGCTTCCAAAGTAGTCATCTGAAAGTAGAATAATTGGTTGGAAAAATAAGCACTATTTAAAATAAGTCTCATTAATACGTTACTACTCACTAGAGCTGCATAATATTCAGTTGATGATTCCGTACCACCATTCTGTTTAATTACATCAGTTACAGCAGCTAACACAGCAAGCATTTCTTTATGCATTGCTGAATTAGATTGGAAGTGATTCAAAAAACTGAAATAGATATAATTAACTGTAAGAATTTGAATGAGACATTATTAATACTCAAAACTTACCGATTAAAAGAGATATTGGAGCAATTGCTATAATCACTAGCAAATGTACCAAAAGTTTTAAAAGTGTCTCCACCATCTAAACTTGATTCATCAATGTCAATTCTATCATCATGAGATTCAATTCCTTGCATAGCATCATGTTTTTTCAAAATGTCAATTGTGAGTCCTTTGGAGTTTGTATCTGTCAAGAGAAATAATGTTTCAATTGTCATTTAATATTACATATAACCTGTAGAATATGTTCACATAGTTAGAGATTTCAACAATTTCAAAGTAATATAAGCAATTAAAATACTTTAATTATAATAGCTTAGCTAAAAGTTTTGAATGAAATGCATAATACATATGTAACATTAGATACCTGCACTTATACTTTAAATTACAAAAAGAAAATTAAGAAAATTAAGAAGCACCATACACATTTAACTATTAGCTATAATAAAAAAGCTTTCAAAATTATTAAAAACAATACCAGGATTGAGTTGAAAGAAGCGTGATCGAGCTTGATCCCGAAATGTTTTCGTTTCGGGATTTGAACTGGAACTTTGTCCTTTAGCCCATCTTTTCGCCTTTTTTCTGCTACTGAGACGAGGACCTAATTTTCCCATCTTAGTTTTATAGATTAAATATTTTTATCTTGGAACTCCTATGCTATCGTGAAATTGTAAATAGCAGCACGTGGTGTGCAGCATGCGTCAAACAATCAAACTGTGTATTGTAACCTCAAAAAGGTCTGTGGATTCTGTGGACTGTAAAGTTAAAGTATTGAATAGCTCAGTCAATATAACTTAAATTTAAAAAATAAGAAACACACCTACCAAAGACACTTTTAAGTGTATTTTGACCTCGGGAACACAATTTTTAAATTGGCCAAATGCTAGTTTCCTGGAAAATAGGTGAAAATTACGAAAAACTAAAATTTTTCGCAGTTACCTTAAAAACAAGTCAGAATTTCGGATAAAAATTATAGCTCTCAAAATTTTACATAAAAAATGCTATTATACGTGCAATTTTGCTAAATATTAGTAAAATTAGAGGGAATTTTCACAATGTCACGATTTTTGGCATTACGATTTCAATACGACAGCTGACAACTGCGGACTTCGTAGTACCTACGTACTACGTAGTACTGCACACCTAAACTTTCTTCTATCTGTTTCTCTCTCTTTCTGTCTCTCTCTTATTCTCTCTCTCTCACTCTTTCTCTCTGGGTAGGGTGAGGTGAGGTCACTTCCTACTTAAATATGTCGATATTTCGTGTTTCTATTACTATTTCTTAAGGAACGATGGAACGTTGATATTGTCTTCGCTTGATATTATTGTATAATGTATATATATGTATATATATACGATAACAAAAAAAGGAAACAATGAGTGTCATACAAAAATACTTTATCAAATAACTTTAAAATAACATATTATTTACATTTTTTTATTATATTCGATTTCACCTCCTCACAATTCGCAACAAGAATATCTTTCAAATAATTTACCTTGACCAACGGATTAAACAATATATAATAAGCAAAAGTATTTCAATCAAATTATTACACGATGTACTACGAACTTAAATGTCTTAGCAATTTTCAATAGCACGTTACATTAATTGTATCACATGTATTATTCTAATATTCTTAAGTCTAAGATTACATTTGTTATTACTACATTGGATTTGAGATAAAGAACCCTGCTAAAATATTAACATTCAACTGGATTGAAAATCTGTGTATAAATCCAATCATCTTTGAGTCTATTTCTAAATCCTACAAATGATAATTAAAATTCATGAAAGTAGAATAAATCTCAATCCATTTTAATGTTTTTTTTATCTCGAAATTAATTTTACATATAATAATTAATTTTAGGATAAATAGTACATTACGAACATGTGCCGTACCGTATTTTTTGATATGACGTGTGGAAAGTGCGATTTTCAACGCACGTTTTTTGCCGAGCGTGCGGGAAAAACGCACTTTCCGCACGGAGTGTCGAAAAAATATTAAAGGGGATTCAGATCGATTCTACTTTAATAAATTAAAATTGTCATTTGTAAGATTCAGAAATGGACTTGCAAAGCGGATTGGATTTTCAATCCAGTTGAATATCTTTATTTTAGCAATGAGTTATAAGAGAAACATAAGTATAAATTAAAACATGTCATAAAAGGAAAAAAAATAACGAATATTAAAGTGTATTGTTTATCAAAATTTTTGTTCAAAAACATTACGGTTACAACAAAATTATCTTTTTTCTTTAGAAGCAATGTATATAGGAAAAATTGTTAAGAATAAAATATTTTTATAAGTGTCTAAAGAATATATGAGAATTTTTTAGGATTTTTTGAGCATTTTTTCGATTTTGCAAACATTACCTATTGCATTGCCAGTTGCAAAAACAAAAAATTTTCTTGAAACGTTTTGAAAAAATTGCAGTGTATTCGTTACATGATTCTTAGAACTTTTTTATTTTGCTAATTTTTTATAAAATCACAGTGTTTTAGTAAAAAATTCATGAACATAACGGAAAAAATTACGTATTTGAGGCGCCATTTTGGACACCCTAATAAGGTGAAAAATCGAACCGGGAACGGGTATACGGTGGCGAGATTTTGCTGGGGGCCTATTCTGAAAAAAAATTTTGTGGTAAATCAGTTTGTCACTTCAGTTTACCACAGAATTAATCACTTTAGATGTGATAAATGCTTATGACATGTGCTAAAATTTTTTTTCAGAATAGGCCCCGTGCTAAAATTTTTTTTCAGAATAGGCCCCCTGGCGGATTTATTTCTCCAAAATTCCCCGTCCCACGTTTACTATCAAGCATAAGTTCAATACAATATATTTCATTTTTTTATAGTTATATTTCGCCTAGCTTGTTCGAAGATATTCCATATGTAGTACCGCAACTCGTTGCCAGGTGACGCCACTATTTAGAGATAGAACCGAAGGAAAAGAGGCACTTTCTTCCCCTTCCTAAGTCCTATCTCTCTTTCCGCCTCTCCTATTTCATTCGTTTCTTGGCGCTCGGTGAAGCCACAGGCAAAATGGAAAACAAAGAAGATCGTGTTAGACAAAAGATGGAGGAATTACGTCAGGCGGAGAAGCTGATGAACAGAGTTTACGGCGAACTTGACACCTTACAGAAAGAAGAGGAGATACTCACATATGAGGGTAAGATGAAATACTATCGAGCATCAATACTAAGTTGATGTCAATGGCAAGCTTAGCCGATATGGGCAAATCTGAGCATCGATTCTAAGTCGATGTCAAAAGGAAAAACTCCCATAAGAATCTACACTCCTTTGTTCTTCGTTCAATAATTGCAGATGTTTTGCGTTTGGAAAACAAGGAGAATGAGGAAAGAGAGGATGGTGAGCTACTAGAAAGAGAGATCAGGATGGCCGACAATGAGCCGATTGAGGAGGAGACAATGGCGGCCTTAGGAGAAAATCCTATTAGTGAGAATAACAAAGAATTCCTTATTATTAAAACTGTAGCCGACAGGTTAAAAGTGTGGTCATCAAAAGGCATTTCTAATAAAGAGGAGAAATTAAAATTAATATCTAAAATACCTAGAAGAAATAATGAAATAAACCTCGAGGCCCCAAAACTTAATGAAGAGATCGCAGTAAGCCTTACTCAGAAGGCACTGACTAAAGATGGCTTTTTCAGAGAGTATCAAGAACTCGCAGGGGCGTCTTTGGCTGCAGCCGCAACGGCTTTGAGTATGATCATTAACGATAGAGTTGAGCCTTTAGAAACCTACTCGAGAATCTAGGAGGTGCAGTTAAACTAATGAGTGATCTGTTTTATCAACTCTCAAATGCCAGAAAACTTTTTATCATGGGTCGATACAATGAAAATATTCAGAGAATTGCAAAGAATAGAGAATCGACTTCCTTACTTTTCGGGGACGAGTTCAAAACGGTTTTGGAAAACGCCAAAGCAATGGAAAGAGCCGTACAGGAGTTGAAGCCAAAGAACACCTATAACAGACCTCCTTTCAGCAGCTATAACAACAACGCTAAGAATTCTTTAAACTGGAGAAGCTCCCCCTTCAACCGTGGGAGCAGGGGGAGCTACAAGAATCAGTACCAGAATCATCGGTCAGGCTCAAACACGCACAGCAGCACCTACACGTCCAGTCGCAGATCAGAGCCAACGAAAAGATTCTACAATCAATCCCAACCTTACCAACACCGGAGGAGATAGGAATAACACAGGTAAAGACTGGAAGATTAAGGTTTTTTATAGACCAATGGGAACTTATTACGCAGGACAGGTTTGTCTTAGAAACAATTAGGGGTTATAAGATTTGTTTTAATTCCCCGGTTTTTCAACATAAAGAACCATCAGCCCAAGTGTACCCGAGGAGGGGTTATGAGAAAGAGATGGATAAGGCTATTGATAAATTAATAAACAATGGAGCAGTTGAAGTATGTAAATATACTGAAGGACAATTTTTATCCTCTTTCTTCTTAGTAGAGAAACCTGATGGATCCTTCAGGTTTATTTTAAATTTGAAGAACTTAAAGTTTTTTATTAATCATGAACATTTTAAAATCGAGGATATTCGCACAGTTGTAAATTTATTGGAGAAGAGGGATTTTATGTGCAGATTAGATTTAAAGGAGGCATACTTTTTAGTTTCAATTCATGAGGATTCAAAGAAATACCTTAGATTTAAATATAGGGATCGTTTGTACCAATTCAACGTTTTACCCTTTGGCTTATCATCAGCCCCATATGTATTCACTAAGATAGGCAAACCGGTATTAAAGGAGTTAAGAGAAAAGGGGATTAAGGTAATAGTGTATTTAGATGATTTCCTTATTATAGGATCCACTGAAACCAAATGTAGGAATGATACTGTTTTGACTATCTCGTTACTTCAGAGATTGGGATTTATAATTAATTTCGATAAGAGTGAGACCACACCAAGTAGACTTTGTAGATTTTTAGGTGTAAATATTAATTCAACAGACATGACCCTAACCTTGCCCTATGAAAAGAAGGTTAGAATATTCGAGATGGTCAGCACAATTTTAGAGATGAAGGTAGTAACAATCAAGATGCTAGCTAGGTGCATAGGAGTGTTAGTAGCAGCTTGCCCTGCAGTAGCTTACGGCTGGTTACATTATAAATATTTAGAAACACTCAAGGGAGATGCGTTAACAATTCAGGACTACAATATGTACAAATCAGTACATCTAGACACAAAAGCTAGAGAAGAACTAGAATGGTGGAAGGCTAATATTTTACCTTCTTACAACAAAATTAGGTCAAATATATTTGACTTAACTATTTTCTCTGATGCTTCTAAGACAGGCTGGGGTGCTACCTGTGAGGGAATGAAAGCAAACGGTTTTTGGGACAGTCAGGAGAGAGAGCTACACATAAACTTATTAGAACTTCGAGCAGCATTTTTCTCATTAAAATGCTTTTTATCACAAAGAACTGGTATTCAGGTCCTGTTGAGAATTGACAATATTACAGCGATAGCGTACATTAATAAGATGGGAGGTACTAAACATGAAGACCTGCATATTGAAGCTAAGAAAATTTGGAATTGGTGCGCTAAGAGAGAAATTTGGATTTTTTCGGAATACGTAGCATCAAGAGAGAACAGGGCAGATGAGGGTTCCAGAATCAGTAATCTAGACACAGAGTGGGAGCTAGCAGAGGAGGCTTTTAAGGAATTAGTTAAGGAGTTTGGTAGCCCATCCATAGATTTATTCGCCTCACGCATAAATAGAAAATGTTTAAAATATTGTTCCTGGGAGAGAGACCCAGATGCTTTCGCTATCAATTCTTTAACCATTTCCTGGAAGCAGGATTTTTGGTATGCTTTCCATCCATTTGCGTTGATACCTAGAATACTAAAGAAAATCAGGGAGGAATATTCAACAGGCATCTTAGTGGTCCCCTTATGGACTGTACAACCTTGGTTCCCGGATTTTAAAGCGCTCTTAATAAGCAAACTCATAACTTTCCAACCATCGCCCAATCTGCTATGTTCACCTTGTAGGAGCAGAACTCATCCATTGGCCTCGGAGCTTACCCTGGTGTCAGGGATACTGTCAGGCAGAGTTTTAAGAAAAAGGACCTGGAGGAGGCGACAATAGAGATCATGTTATCATCAGTGGCCAACAGCACAATGAAGCAGTACAATTCAGCCCTAGAATATTGGTGGAAATTTTGTAAGGAATCAGCGTTAGATCCATTCAACGCAGGAGATAAGGAGATTGTTAACTGTTTAACTAGAAAGTTCAACGAGGGTGCGGCGTATGGTACGCTCAATTCACTTAGATCAGCTATTGCCTTAATCAATCAAGAGAATAATTCAGACAGCCCTCTCTTAAATAGATTCTTCAGGGGTGTTTTTAGAACCAGGCCAACTGCACCAAAGTATTGTTGCACATGGGATGTGGAGGTTGTTCTTAATATGTTAGAAACTTGGAATCCACTGTCAGCGTTAAGCCTTCAGAATCTTACTTTTAAGTTAGTATTATTATTAGCTTTAGGATCAGCATTCAGAGTACAATCTATTGCTCTAATTAAGATAAAGAACATCAGGTTTTTGAGTAATGGAGTAGAGATCAGAATTTCAGATCTTATCAAAACCTCAAGGCCAGGATCAAAGGATCCTATAGTGTTTTTTCCTTATTTTCCTCACAGAGAAACACTTTGTATTGCAAGAACTTTAATATTTTATATTGAGAAGACTAGAGATTTACGAGGCAATACAGACGAATTATTTATTTCTTTTATAAAACCTTTTAAAAAAGTAACTTCCCAGACGATAAGCAGATGGATTAGAACAGTCATGAGACAAGCAGGTATCGATGAGTTCTTCACTGCCCATAGTACAAGGCATGCATCTACATCAAGAGCTCTAAGGGAAGGATTAGATATTGGTACCATACGGAATGCAGCCAGCTGGTCTGAGAACTCAAAGGTTTTTGCTAGATTTTATAACAGACCTATTGTTAAGAGTACAGATAGGAATTTCGCAGCAGCAGTTATTGCATAACTTAAAGAAAGTGTTTATAATGTTCATTCTTTTAATATAAAGTCTTTTATTTCTGTAACGTAATTTTAAATATGTTCACATATATTATAATAAATACATTTAACAGAGAGGAACAGCTAATTTCACTCTAAACATCTACATATGGAATATCTTCGAACAAGCTAGGCGAAATATAATTAATGATCAAACGAACACAGTGAAGTTCGATCATAATTATATGAGTAGGCTTGTTCGAAGATATTCCATTCCCCCCCAAAAAAAAAAAAAAAAAAAAAAAACAAAAACAAGAAATATGTGTTAATGGTAATTTTCCCAACCCTAGAATCACCTCGCTTTTCTCTAAACTAAATGAAGTAGGAGAGGCGGGAAGAGAGATAGGACTTAGGAAGGGGAAGAAAGTGCCTCTTTTCCTTCGGTTCTATCTCTAAATAGTGGCGTCACCTGGCAACGAGTTGCGGTACTACATATGGAATATCTTCGAACAAGCCTACTCATATAATTATGATCGAACTTCACTGTGTTCGTTTCATCATTAAGTTTGGAGAAAGTGCGCGGTAGTGATGTTCGATTATATTCGATTAATCGATAACCATTCGATTATTTAACAAAATATTCGATTTTTTTTCTCGATTATTTTGAAACTTGATTATTACAGCTTCGATTATTTTTTGGCCAATAATCGAATCGATCTGCACTTTGTGCAATTTGTGTTTTGCGCATGCGTGGATATTATTCTCTCTATTTACATACGTTCGAATAGAAAAGAAATTTGTGACAGTTGAATGTGAAGTGAGAGTGAGACGTGAGCTGAGGTGCAATAGGTAGAATCAAGAATGGATAACAATGATCATGATGTTTTCAACCCATTCGTCGAAGACAGACAAAATCAAGGTGCATAAAAAAATTTTATTTACATATTTACTACATTTAAGTTTAAAAATTTTATTGTTGTAGTAGCAATTCAAAGTTTATTTAAATCATTGGACGATGTTGAATATTTGCCTGTTAAATTGTAAATGATTGAAATAAGCAATGACCTTTTAATAAATACCATCAGAACGTAATTTGCATTGTTTAATTTATCAGTAGTTCTTATTTCCTACTTATTTTTCTTATTATAATATTGTTTCCATATATTTATAAGCACTTTATTCTTTTTTTTAATTAAAACAACCATCGATTATTCATTTGATTAATCGATTATTTTCAAATAAAATTGATTATCAAGAATCGATTATTTTGGTAATTCGATTATTAGGAATCGAATACTTTTTCGAATAATCGAACATCACTAGTGCGCGGTCAAAATTTGACTAGCAGATGAGTCAGTTCATGTCTTGAACATGTGCGAAAATCATTGTTCAATTCGGCTTTGATGGTTTGCTCTTTGCTCGACTACTATTAGAGTAAAGCTCAATACATCAAGATCGAAATACTGAGTTCACTCGCTAAAATTTTCATGTAGTTCGGGATAAAATGCCGATTACAATTTTATAATTATTTATACGATCCTGTTGCAAATATTATTGTATAAGAATTACAAATAAAAATACAAATAATTTGTGAAATATCAATGATATAATGGTTATACATTAAAAAAACACATTTCAGTAATGTTTTTGCACAATTATGTACATCCTATTATAATACTACTTTATTCGAAACATCCATTGTTAAAAATCCGGCCAATGTTAAGATTTTTACAGATTCATTTGTTTAATTTATTTTTAACAATGACTGCGATATCGATAATGTTTTAAGTAATATTAATATTAATAGTCTTGAAAATATTGATAACAGCCAAATTGTATCTAAAACATCAGAGAGGCAAGATTTAACATATAACTATAATAAATGTACTCTTACTGATAAAAGCAATCATTTAATATTGTGTAAAACCATTTTTACTCATATTACATATTAAGATTGGAATCGTGTCATTTTCATAATGCCAAAATCGTTCTGTAAACACTAAAATTCGATTTCACAAACGTAATACGCAAAAGTCAAAAATCAAATTAGTGGTAAAGCGGGATAGTTTGAATATACAAGTAATTATAGGGTTATCGATTTTATTCAATAACATTTTAATTACAATAACTCAATAATTTAATAAAAATGTTCCACAATTGACAATACAAAATATCATGCATGATATAAAAAAAACACTTTTATTTTAAATGTATTGTACTTTGTATACATGTAATATAAAAAGTCCAATATATACGCGTATAAAAATATTAGCTTATATAAGCTATCAATAATCATTTATTCATTACCAATTATAGGTAAAATAAAAAAATATCTACTCTAAATAAAAAAAACAAAACATATTTCGTTTCATTCGTTTTGTCATTGAATGAGCCAAGTTCTTATTTCTTTCAAGTACTTACAAAAAAGTCTACTTTGATTGTAACTTATATATGTACAAAATATAATAAAAACTTATGAGAAGTACAAAAAATGTTGAGAAAATTATATTTTTCTCTTACTATATTTTGGAAAGAGTAAAGATAAGATTTCAGTTAATTTCTTATTGATTAAAACACGAACGGTTCCAATGTTAAATCTACATGTTGGACAACATTTTATGCCAGCTGCAAAACTTTTTTGAAGACAAGTTCGACATATATTATGCGCACATGGTGTTGTTACAGGTTTAATAACTAATTCATGACAGCAAACGCATTTGAGACTGAAATAATATAAATATCAAAATATTAGATGAAATTTAACGTATATATTTTGCTGACGTTATACTTACGATAGCAAAACTTGATTTAAAAATGATTTTTTGCCATTGGGTAAATAAGATTTGCAATGATCCCACAGTTTAGAATTAACATAATCTTTTTCAATTAGTCTCGAAATATTACTATCCAGATAATAATGTTCCGCTTCTTTCTTCTTTGACATTATCTTATCCTCGTCATCGAGTTTTTTATTTTTATTGCAAACTTTCAGTTGCGATTTTTTAGTTTCAATTGACTCTATTACATTGTTGTTAGATAAACTTGATCTCAAACATGTTAATTCATCTATATGAGTCCATGGTGGTGGCGCAGGATCGTCTCTTCTTAAAAGGAAACGCCATATGCGAAATCCACTTTTATCAATTTCAGGATAATATTTTACAACTTTGTATAAACCATCATATCTATAATTTAAAAATAATCAAATGTCAGCAATGATATTAAATTTATAAACTAAACTGATGGTCTAAAAATTAATTTACCGATTGCCTTCAGTAGGAGCATACTGGCTAAATTTTGCAAGCTTGTAATTTCGAATGACTCTGACAGGTATGCCAGCTCTCCAATCAGTAGCTGTTGCTCCTACTTCATCATTAAATTCTGCGTTACAATTCAATGCTAATGCTTTGTTGGCTCGAGTCAGTGTTTGATTTCCAATTGGAACACTAAGAGCACCCTTTGCTCCATGCCCTCCAGCACCAGTGTAAATAAATTCATTTCCATTATCAATATCATTGTAATTACCAGAGAGTATCAATGAATAAGCACAATCACTTATTTTCCCATGGATTCCAGATACAGTTGCATTATGCATTCCTGAGTGAAATAACTAAAGAAAACACGAAAATCAAAATAAAAAATATTTAATTATCAATTTTGATCGATAAAAAGTATCCTACTTGGACTCTATTGTACCACCAGGCTCCTACTTCAATACCAGGTATTGCTCCTTTATGATTTCTAGGAACAGTAGGTATATTTTTAGTGGTTATTTTTTTAGTAGGTACATTTTTCTCTTTCTTTGTCTTACTTTTCTGAGTTTTTGAAGATACTTTCTCACATTTGTTCAAAGGTCTTTTTCTGACTAACTGACCCACCTAAAATGTATACTTTATTATTATGCTTGACAATTGTTATTTGCTTACATTTTTACCTTGACAATTTCATTTTGATCAGTTTTACATTTAGCACAATACCAATCATCTTCTGGTATTTCTAAAAGAGGTGGTTTTAAGCAACTAATGTGATACTCATCTTCACATTCATCGCACACTAAAATTAGATGTGGATTATTTTTCCCTCCACAAACTACACATCCACATTCTGTACAATTAACTTCCAACTGGTCATAACAACGGTAACATTGTGGAGCAATAGGTCTTCTAGCTGTAGTTACATATTTATCATTATCTGGAATTCTATCCTTTAAAAGTTTTGGCTTTGCTATAGCATAAACTTTCTCTCTTAGTTCTACTTGATAATTGTAAAGAGACTCATGGTTTCTAAATAGAAGATACAATTACAAATAATTAACTTACAAAAATATTAATATTTACAAATTTCCAAGTAAATATTTACCTTCCTATGTATAAAATACCAGTTAGTATATATTTACTATTTACAGAAAGAATTTTTTCAATTTCGAAATCGTACCAAAATCCAACATCAGACGGACGGTCTAAATTATGATTTATCATAACTTTCTCACCAACTTGTAAATTTTCTGGTGCAATAACTTTATTGGCTCTTGGTCTTATTGATTCTTTAGATACATAAAAATGTTGAGGTGTTTCAACAAGATCCCATTCAATGATATACACTAACTCTTTGTCAGATTTGCATATTCTTTTAATAGTTGCTTCAAACCAAGCTCCATATTCAGAATCAAGACAATCAATCGAATCTCCAATGGTATAATAATCACTCTCGACATCTTCTAAATTTTCATAATTATTCTTTTCTTCTTTTGTTTGTTGGATTTTATTTGTTGTCAGTGTAGTTGAGGTATTATTCAAAACACAGCAATTATTTTTCATTCTTAACTGTATTACATCATTTTTATTTATTTTATAATCGTATAAAGTATTTTCCAACTCTAAATGTTTACCACCATAATAAAGCCCTTGAAAAATTGGTTTTATAGCTAATACCTTTTGAATTTTTTTCTGTTTAAACACAGAATACATGAAAATAAGTCAAATCAAATATTTTATAATTATATTGATGGTATAATCTTATACAAGCAACATTACCTTTAGTCTTGAAATTTTTGCTGTTTTGGAAATTTTTATTTGCGTTTCTTCATTAAAATTACTAAGATTGCGAATTCTAACTTTCATCTTCGAGAGTATTTGATTACTATTGCTTTATTTTATAGTGCGAATTTAAAGTAGAGGCCTGTAGGAAAATATAAAAATATTATCAAAGAATACAATTTTCTGTGCTGATTATTCGAACTTGAAAATTAAACCGCAAAAGTGCGTAACCTATCTGTCTGTTCAATCTGAATCAGAGAAATAAAAACTTATTCTTGAGTCTATTATAAGTATGTTATTCTAGTCTTATTCTAGAAAATCTAGGATCGTCTGGTAAAAAATGAAGAACAGGAAAGAACGCGTTCTCAATTTTGTAAACAAAGGAGATAGCGTAATAGGATGTAACTGGAGTTGGATGCCTTTGTATGCGCATGGGTATACATACACACATGTACATATATACTAACATATTACAAATCCTATCTAGCGGATCAAATCAAGATCGCGGTATTGGAATTGAATTGAATATGTGTAAAAAAAACCGTTTACACGTTTGATTTAACGTGTAATTAATGTATTCTAACTAATAAATGCCACAAATACTTTCTGTTATTATTATAAAAAAATGATTAATAATTTGGTTGAAAAAGCTATTTGAACCAAAACGCAAATTTTAGCTGTACCACTTGAAGAGATATAAATTACTCAGACTTTTGTTACCTGCAAATCTGAACAATGTATAATATTGTGATATCGTAGTGGCAGTGGCTATGGGCAATTATTTAGAGCGTATAAAGGCAAGAGAGAGAGAGAGAGAGAGAGAGAGAGAGAGAGAGAGAGAGAGAGAGAGAGAGAGAGAGAGAGAGAGGGGGGGGGAGTTGGGTTCGCCCTTGAGCGAGAGTTACGCGGAAAACTACTGAGTGGAGTGAAAAGCGTGGGAGAAAGTGAGGGTGGCGTCGAACGTAGGATTATAGAGATGGTAGAAGTGGGGATGCGCCCCCGAATTTGCGATAGTGAGGCTCTAGCCCTTGGGCGACAGTGACGCTTTTAGCCGTCCATTCCATTTGTGTGCTTCGCCTGCTGATAAAGTTAAGGCCTAGCCTGAATAATAATTTGCTTAAATTTCTTACAATACTCGTTACTCTGACTACTTAAATTCGACATATATATATGTACGTGAAATTCGTTGATAAAATTGATCAATCGATTCACGTGCTTAGTGTAGCTGTATATATATTGGTTTTCTCTTGTTTATCGTTTTGCTTAGCCATCCACTTTAGAGGCTCTTAATATTTGGATCTCTATATGGAGAAAAGTTCTCATTACATTTTATATTTAAAAGAAAAAATATAAAGATTCGACTAAACATTCAGCAGTCGTTATATATATCTCTTTCACTTTACAGTTAAACGATATTACGATACAAGTGTGGGAAAGTAGATTCTTGTCTTGTGTGGCGTTTAAGCCTGAACAAAGCGAAGGTAGAAAGGTACACGAGATGCGAAATTCTTCCGTACACGTGCGTACTATATTTTTTGATACGTGTGGAAAGTGCGATTTTTAACGCACGTTTTCTGCCGAGCTAGCGGGAAAAACGCACTTTGCGCATGGAGTGTCGAAAAATTATGAATGTTTTTCGTCTTACCTTAAATTACTATGGTGGAGCGTATACGAGAACGCATGGAGTGTACGCGTGCACGCGACTATAATGGCCTAATGACATTCTGCGTGGAAAATCCCCTGGCAGTCAAGGAAGCGTGGGAGAAATGGAAAGCCCCTTTCCTTGAGCGAGTCGAAGCAATGGACGCCTTCAGTATTTTGAGGGCCGTCTACTCGTCAGCATGAGTTAGGGAATAAATTAGTTTATTAATTTATTCTAATCATTTATGCATTATTATAAGTGCTTGCCATCCTTTATTTTCAACCCTTTGTGTTCGCATTTCTACATTATAACTAAATTTTTGTACTATCTATAACCAACAAAGGTAGATGTTTTGTCTTTACAGTATTATACTACATTGTGTGCTTCCAAAAGATGCTTATATTCAATAATTTACGAAATATTTCTTCGGATTAAAACCGAAAAACCACAATTGGCTTTACATATATACGTACGTTTATGTAAGAATTTGTCAAAGTGGTTCAATAGACTTGAAAAATAGGTCTAGTTTTATTTTATAATGACTTTGTGTAATCATTTTTACGATCCAACTCCCTTCTATGTCTTAAGATAATAAATATTTTAATTATTTTTATGGAAAATCAAACTTCTTATTAATGATTGTTTAAGAAATCAAAAATTCTCAGCTTTGTATTATAAATTCTTCGCTTGTAACTATCGGAAAAATGAAAAAATTATGAGTAATACAATGCACGCCATTTGTTAGAGAGAAAAGAGGTTGAATAAGTTTATTCCCTGGATAGTTTCAAAAAACATCCTTTTATGACATCAATACAATATTGAGACCCAGCTATTATACAATCATTACTGAATATACAATAAAAAGAATTATAAATAATAAAAAAACAAAAATAGACGTATAAAAACAATTTTATTAGTAAATAATATATAATAACAATCCAACCATATTTAACAACATTTAAAGTAATACAATATATGAACATATTTATTGCAATAGACCATTTTATATTCATTCAACTGCATTATATGACTTATTCTCATTAGTCAGCTAACGTACGTTGAATATAAATAATTCACAACAGTACCTTTATTCTCATCAATGAAAGAAATGAACGAATATGTAAGGTTTTTGCTTCTCATTTATTTCAAAATAAGAACAAAATTTCGTAACGTTTTGACGCAAGCATTATATTTACAGTTTACTCAGTAGCATAACTAGAAGTAACTAGCATTACGCCCATGAAGTGACTTCAAAGTGATTGAAAGAATTTTCTTTAGAAAGATTGCAAAATGCATTGCTTTTGTTTCTTGCTTGCAGAAACAAAAGAAGCATATATTATCAACTTCTATCAGCATAAAGCTTTAACATAAACATCACTCAATTCGAATATACAAATTCAATATAATTATTTATATTCACTATCTAATGCACGGAAAAATGAATGAACCAGAGGTTCAATTCCAAAAACTATTTCGTCTGTTCACATTCGTAACATCATGTAATTCAATTTAACAAAGAATCGGAAAGTCTACAATTTTACAATTTTTAAATTATTCATATTCCACGTGCTTTTTTGTAAATAGTTATGATTGAGGTTCAAAAAATATTCATTAAAATGTACAATTGACTGACAAAATTGGTAATATTATACATTAATATATACCAATCGGTAACAAATAATTATTTTATATATCGCTATTATCAGGTACATTATATAAGTCCTTATTATGTCTCAACTTACATCCATTAAAAAAGTATCAGTACAGATTACGCATGGTAACTATTATATTTTCGCCACATAGAAGTATAATAGTTTTAATAATTTCCTTACATTCGGCTCTGTTCTTATAAACAAATGTGTTACAGAGTGAGTGTTCCCATTACCGGCAGCCATCAACTTCCGGCACTTTATGTTCCTTTCAATTTCATGTGTGTGTGAAATAAATTCCGGTAAGATTTAAGCAAAATAATAAATTCAAGACTAATATAATGCACCTATTGAATGCATTCAAATTTACTTATTTAATTAAAAATATATAATCTAATTGAATTATAATATTATAAAAGAGCCCGAGCAATTTATTGTTAGTATAAAATTACATTCAAGTTTTTCATAAGAACAATCACCGGCCATTTAACAACCGCGCATAAAAAACAAAATATTTTTTTTTTCATTCGAGTGTATAACTTTTTTTAATTGAGCTGCAATATACATTAAATAATTTGATATTACTTTTACTTCTTGTAGCCTTTTCAGGCTGTGTACAGCTTAAATTGCCAATAATTGATACATTGACATCTTAAGCGACCGGTAATAGAGACACTCTACGTATGAATCGTAAAAATAGTTTTTACACTTGCTAAAACCAACAAATATAAACGCTAAGCACCTGTATTTGTTGCTCTAATCAAAGATAAAATAGTATTATATTATTCTAGTTCAAGTTTCTTGTAATACATATAACAACAATGAATAAATTCGTGTAGCATCAATCATTAAAAATGAAGTTTCCAATTTTTTTGGCTTTATTATAATTTTTTAATAATTGAACTTGTTTTAAATACAAAAAAAAGACGTTATTTTTATGAAATGAAAGATCTATGGTTCAGATTTCGCCTACTACTCCTTTTTTCAAATTGACTGTTATTAGCAATAGATCATTTTAACATATTCAATTGATTGTTCATACACTTCAAACAATGTAGACTCTTAATTAAACCTACCTCATATATATCTTTTCAATCTATGACTTTATAACAAAATGGCTTTATGCTAAATATAAATCTAATAATATCAAGTTAAAATGCATGTTACTATACGACTCTGATAAATATATCATTATACTGTTATTAGCGCATTAAATATTTTATTCAATACATAGGTAGATAAACTTCTTGGAAGTTATATAAATTTACGTGATTTCTTTTGTGACGAAAAAGTTGTAGAAAAGTTGATAATCACGTAAACTAAGCCCAATAAAATAATAATTATGCGTCATAATTTATTTCATACTTGTTCATGTTATATATTATTTACTCGACAGTTTTATTGCAGCATACTTGAAGCTATTAATTGTCTTCGATCACGATAATAACATTAATATGAATAGTCTAATAAGTTTTCATAAATCCCTGAAACGAAATTTGCAGAAAATGTAAACCGCCATCATTTTTCACTAATTAATATTTAATTATATTTATTATCAAAATTTTTTTCGGGTTAGTATATGAACTTATTATAAGTATTTAATCACATTTGTAGTAATTTTGAAATAATTAAATTCATGTGCCTACCTAACTATATTTAACTAATGATTATTTAATCACGAGATTTTTTATTATAAGCCATAATATTTTTCAATTCCACCTATTGGTATGGACTTTTATTCTACAAATGACTCTTGCTTTCCAAAGTTTGACTATTGCAGGAACATTAATATATCTTTTTAACTTTCATGTGACTGATTGTGAGTAAAGATTTTTACCCTCTTATAATTAGTTTGCACTTGACTCGTGCACAATTCTTCTTCTCACATCAATTAATTTCTGTATACATAACTTACGTTTTCAACTGAAATAGTTCCTTATCTTCAATATGATAGTATATATAATACTAAACATAATAGAATCATATTGTAGTAAATATTTGTCCATAAAAATAAAAAATTTTAAGCCGTTATCTAGATTCTTTGCAATGGTGATGGACTGTGATGGTAGGTACAGTAAATGCTGCTCCTCGTCTGGTAGTCTGAGATCAAAGATGCGTCTGAAACGGGTTGAAATAAAAAATCAAATAAGAATTTCTAAGTAACGTAAAAAAAGTAATAAGCTACTTTTATAAAAATATTTAAAAAATGACAACTTCGAATGATTTTTCGAAATACTTTAATATCTAATAAAGCTATAATCGGGTAATAAATGAAGAATTTAAAACTTTCTTTCTCATTTATATAATCATGTTTTATTCATGGTTGAATTGCATTACTCTTATAAAGTCGGTTGATATGACATTTAATAGATACAATAAAGCGAAAATACATGATTAAGAAAATAATTTTTTTCTTAACCTTTCTTCATACTATAACAAAATTTCTCAGAAAGTCAAAGGTCAAAAGCTCGTTTTTACGAGTATATCAAAAATACAAAAAC